GTGAGATGGCTATCTAAAAGCTTCATATGCTAAGTAGCCAACATTTGGAATTGTTTTTGTGTAAAGGTGAAAATTTAGACTTCTTTAAGAAACTGTGAGTTAATCACATTGTCAGTGTTTTATTCTGGATGGATGGATGAGTGAGCTAATTGCGGAGACATTATCCTGCCACATTACAACAACACTTATTGGGAGCTAATAGTGTCCTAGCACATTGTGCTTATCCCCTTGCTTTCAATGATCAACTCAACAATGAGTAAATTTATACTCAATGATAAAATAATGCAACACAGGAGAAAGTTATTCTAAGAGACTACACAGGGAAGATGAACTGAAAGAGTGATCCAATTAATATCTCTCCATTTTTTCCATTGGAATCCTGCAGTTTTTTTCTCCAAGTATTTATGCTGCTCTGTTTTGCATCTTATTATTAAAATTGTTTCTGTCACCAATTCAAGCAATGGATTCTAGAACATCATAACTTGTTCAGAACTTCTTTATTTCTCCTTTTGTTCAGTTGCTAATTGCCTTGAATCTATTTTTTTTGGTTCGTGATCCTCCTGCCACTGGAACCTGTTTTTTTCCTTTTTTATTCTATCAAAACCATGATTTGAACACTTCGATAAAACATCCTTTTTATTTTCTCTATTTTAAGAAGAATAACCCTAGTTTCTTTTGTCTCTGTCACTGGAGTCTTCCCTCCTTTATATCATCTACAAGATATCTTCTGAATCTTTATTCAAGCCTCCCCATCCTTCTGATTGTAAGATATTCAGAACTGCACCTAATACTCCAGCTGAGACCTAACCAATGTTGTATAAAGGCTTAGCATAACTCCCTTGCTACAGTCCTCTTTTGTTCTGTATGTAATGCCAAGGATCCTGTTTTAATATTTTTTATTGTTTCAGGGGATGTGAGACCGTTGGCTAGACCAGCATTTATTGCCTTTCCTGAGTTGCCCTTGAGGAGATGGTGGCCAGCTGCATTCTTGAACCACTATCACCTATTTTGTGTATGTAGACCCACAGTGTCATTAAGGAGGGAGTTCCAGGACTTTGACCCAGCAACACTGAACAAACTGTAACCCTCAAGATGTTGTCAGTGGGGGAAATTGAGAGAGGCTAGCGCCATTGAATGTCAAGGAGTGATGGTTAGATTCTCTCATTGGAGATGGTCATTGTTGGCATTTTTGTGTTGTAAATTTTATTTTTTAATGTCTTTTAAAATTACATTTACACAGAGTATCTCAAAGTTCCTGTTTTCTTCCTTCTCACTTCAATTATTTATAATTTGAGACACAAGCATGAAGTATTTCTCTTAAAGAAAACTGGAGTACTTTTAAGAATCTTTTGAAGTACTTGGCAAATGTTGAATTGTTTTTGGGTGCAGTCACTGCTGTTATATAGGATAATAAACAACTTTCTTATGGAGATGAAATGTTAAACATTTGCTCTTTGTGTTTTGCTTAGATTCATTGTATATTAATAGCTGTGGTACAGAGATTTAGAATCTGGTTACTTTTAACTCCAGTTCATCAAAATCGCTCATCCAAATAAGTTATTTCTTGTTAGGTGCATATCTAAATTTATAATTTCCAGACAAGTCAAGTAAACTAGCAGAATGTTCATTTCAATACACGTGGGTGTATATTTCAAAAACAATATCAAATTATGGAACCATGAGTTTGCATATATGTGCTACAAATAGAGAACAAAATTCTTTAGCAATTAATAAATAAAAAGCCTGATGGTGGTGAACCAGTGGCAAGCATAAAATGTGGTTTCATTCTTGTATATAATTTATGTGGGAAAGTAAAGTTAGTCACCATAGTCCTACTGGACTATAGGTCTGCTGTCTCGTTAGAGAGAGTCAACTGTTGGTAGTTTAACCTGACAGTCATCACACCTTAGGTGAGGGTCAGAGTTGAGAATGAGGGACCTTCATGATAACTTCAGCCAGGAATTGAGTACACACTTGGTGTCACTCAGCATTGCAAACCAGCTATCCAGCTAACAGAGCTAACCAAGCCACTAGCATGGGGAGGAGAGGTAAGGCAACAAGAACATTGGAGACGGCAGTTCCACAGAATCATGATTGTGCTGTGTTTGTAGATGGTGAGAAACTGATGTTGGTGGGAGGTGGGGAGCAGATACCTCATATTCTTTTGGAAAGAGACATGTTGCAGTTGAACATATCATGATTGAAATTCAAATTCCTTTATGAAACTTGCTGATGTTTAATAAATCCTTTAAACTTTATTCTGTGCTACTGTTACTCTAGGGTAGTGGTTTCAATGAACGAATCTTAATTAAAGTGTTGAACATTTGCTGACTTATCACAAAGACAGCTTAGTTCATTAACAAGCCTACTATCATTCCACAGGGCAAAGCAAGAGGTTTGGGCTCTACGCAAGGCAATGGGGAAAGGAAATGTTCAGTGGGTGGTCAAAGAAAGGGTTAAAGGAACATCCAATAGTTCTGTGACAGTGTTGGCCTATTCACCATCATGAGACTTGAAGGAATATTTAGGAAAGAACTAACAGTTATTTGGTAGCACAGAACTTTGCTGGAAAAAATACATGTTTTGTTGAACCTTTTTGTCTTGCACTCAGCAGGCCAATTCACAAGAAATACCAATGTAAAAGGAAAATTCATACTGAATGTGAGGAGAGTGCTGAGTGCTTGGCAAATGGACTCCATCTGTGCTCTCCTCTCAAAGTGTATTTTATATTTCTTGTGAATTGTCCAGGTGAGTGTAAAATGTAAAGCTTTGACAAAATGCTTTTTCTTCCAGCAGCACTTAAGAAAGAACTGTGTCCAGTGGCAGATGAGTTGGTAGTCTGCCCTAGATTTTTAAAAATTACTTGCTCATGGGATCTGGACATTGTGGGATACATCAACATTTCTTGCTAATTCCTAGCTGCCGTTCGAGAAGGAGGTGGTGAGCTGCCATCTTGAACCACTGCAGTCCTCGAGGTGTAGGGACATTTGGAGTTTTGGGAAGGGAATTCCAGGATTTGATCCAGTAATAGAGTGATTGGTAATGTAGCTACAGATCAGGATGGTGATTCAGAAGGGAATTTTCAGGCGGTTGTGTTCTCATGTGTCTGCTGCCCTTTTCCTTCTAGATCATGGAGGTCATGGGTTTGGAAGGTGTTGTTGAAGGAAGTTGGGTGAGTTGGCTTTTGTGGATGGAGCACACACAGCCACTGTGTATGGCTGATGAATGGAGTGAGTTTTGAATGCACCAATCGAATGGGGATGCCTTGTCCTGGATGGTGGACAAGCTCTGGAGAGTCAGCAAGTGAGTTACTCACTGCAGAGTTCCTAACTTCTGACCTGCTATTGTATTTATGTAGTTGGTCCTGGTCAGTGGTAACCCCAAGAGCATTGATAGTGGGAGAATGCCGTTGAATGTCAAGTAGCAATGGTTAGATCCTCTCGTTGTAGATGGTCATTACTTGGCATTTGTGTGGCACAATATTATTTGCCAATTATCAACCTAACCCTGGATGTTGTTTAGGTCTTGCTATACATGGGTACAGACTGCATAAGTAGCTAAGGAGTTGTAAGTGGTGCTGAAAATGGTGCAGTCATCAATGAACATGCTTACTTTTGACCAGAGTTTTCCCCTAATCCCCATCTACCCCAGTTCTGCCAGGGTTCCTCAATGTCGCAATCTGTCAAATGCTTCCTTGATGTCTAGGCCAGTCACACTTACCTCATCTGTGGAGTATCATCATTGTGGTAATGTAGTGAAACAAAGTACTCACTTTACACACTGCATTTGTTTAACATTCCTATAAAGCAAATATTTCATTTTTGATTAGTTACTACCAAAGCATAAGAAGCTATTGATCAAGGACAAATGGTTCTACCACTTGTATTCAAGATGTTTTTGAGTCAAAGTGCAGTAATTGCTGACAATTGTGCAGGTCACATTCATGTGAGCAGTCTGTGAACCAATTCCAAAGGTTAGCAGAGATCAATAAAACTCTCTGTTCCCAGAAACTAAATTTCCCCCTCCAGAAAACTGGCAGCCACTATGTTCACTTGCCCATTTTTCTGAAGTGAAACTGGCCGTTGCCTTGGTGACATGCTGTACAATCCTGTGCTAAGATATTGAGACTCCTGCCCATCTGTTCAGCTTGCTACAAGTGGCAGCAAAGGAACATGTTTCAGACTGGTGTTGGCTTAGCCTGAATTCCTGCCCCTGTCTTAATGTTAGAAAGAAAAGCTATGTGCATTTGTGTAGAGATAGTAAGAACTGCCGATGCTGGAGTCAGAGATAACAGTGTGGAGCTGGAGGAGCACAGCAGGCCAGGCAGCATCAGAGGAGCAGGAAAGTTGGTGTTTTGGGTCAGGACCCTTCTTCAGAAATGCATTTGTGTAGGTTTTGTTGCCAACTTACTGTACCCTCCAAGCACTTCACAGTCAATGAAGTCCTCTCAAAGTGTCGTCGGTGTGATAAAATAGGGAAAAGCAACAGCCAACATAAAGTATGGTCTTAAAAAAATAAAATATCTTGCCGTTGGTTAAGGTACAAATGTTGACCCGGATGATTGAATGCCCGTAGTAGTAATATGAATACCCATGGTTAAATTGGATGGAGTGGGCGATTGTGCCTTCAGATGCTCTGTGCTCTGAAAATCTCTCCCTAAAATCTTCATTCTTCTCTCTCAGGTTCTCCTTAACACAGTCTTTGATCAAGCTTCTAGTCACCTGTCCTAATATCACCTTAAATCACATTGTGTAAAGTACCTTGGGAGTGGGGTGGCAGGGGGCATGACTGTGTTGAAGGCATATTTTAAATGCAAGTTTTTGTTGGTTAGAATATATTCTAATCTGGAAATTGCAACCCTACCTTAAAAGAATGGACCAAGCTGCTGTCGAGTCAGGGCTAGGACTGTTTTGCCATTGCTGTGCGGATTGGAAAGGATAACGTGCCTTGTGTTGTGACTTTTTGATGAGTCCAAATGTTCCCTTTGGTTCTTTTGTCAGTGGCTGAGAAGACCAAAGAGCAGGCGTCTCTGGTTGGTGGTGCCGTGGTGACTGGAATGTCTACAGTTGCTCAGAAGACCGTGGAAGGAGCTGGAAACATTGCAGCTGCTACAGGTCTGGTTAAAAAGGATCAATTGGTGAAACAGGTTAGCTTTTTAAAATTTATCCCCTCCCTCACCAACCCCTCCCCTCTAGACCCACCTTAACCCAGGCTTGGCTGCAAAATCAATGATCTGCCCAGCTTTCTCAAATCTGTTTTATTGTGCTCTGATACAATTTAACAATATTTTTTTATTTGTATTGTAATGATAGTGAGTGACGTCACTCACTATCTGAATGTAATCTTCTGTCTCTGAAGAGACTGAAATGGCCAAGGGCTTCAAAGGAATAATATCAGCATGGAATGATTATATTAAAATCTATTTCATCAGCATGTTAGGGAGAGAATGCTTAGAATTAGTGAAAGTATTAAGCTGAACATACAGCAATAGACTGGTTATTTGAAACTTGTAGAATGCATTGAACCACATAACTGCTTTCTCTGGCATTAGCCAGCAAGGAGGATTGGAAGAGCAATTGCATTTTGGTCTGAATGTGCACTTCAGGTCTATTTACTTTTGGAAAATGTGAAAACAAATTCTGCAGGAGAGAGAAGGTGCAGTAGCTCAGTGGTTAGCACTGCTGCCTCACAGTGCCAAGGACCTAGGTTTGATTCCAACCTCGGGCAACCTGTCTGCGTGGAGTTTGCACGTTCTCCCTGTGTCCATGTGGGTTTCCTTCCGCAGTACAAAGGTGTGCAGATTAGGTGGACTGGCCATGCTAAATTGCCTGTGGTGTCCAAGGATGTGCAGGTTAGGAGGATTGGCCATGCTAAATTGCCCCACAGTGTCCAGGGTGTGCAGGTTAGGTGGATTAGCCTTGGGAAATTCGAGTGTGGGTCTGGATGGGATCCTGTTCCGAGGGGTGGTGTGGACTTGATGGGCTGAATGGCCTGCTTCCACACTGTAGGGATTCTATGATTAAAAGCTGCCACAATTAGCAGTGTGTCGCAAATATGCGATTTGAAAATAGGATCATTTTAGAACTAGTGAAAGCTTTTCATGGTAAGACTGTGGACATGAGCAACAGAATAGAATTCAGAACTTGAAGTGATTGGATTTCTTCAGTTGATATCTGAACAGCTGGATGTTAACCATCTTAGATCCAGGTTGGAACGAGTCCAGTGAAAGCTATTTTTAAGAAAGGCATTCAAGGCCTTTAGTTATATTATTAGAGGGATAGAATGCAACAGCAAGCAAGTTATGGTAAACCTTGGCAAAATACTGATTACAACTGAGTATTATGTTGGGTCCTAGATTTCACACTTTAAGAAGGATGTTGAAGTTTGAAACAGAATGCAGAAGTGATCCAAGGAAGAAATTATAATTTATATTATTGATTCAGGGAATGTGTGCTTCACTGGTTGGACCAACATTTATTACCTACCTCTCTTTGCCCTGGAGAAGATGGTGGTAAATGGCTTTCTTGAACCATTGAATTCCATGTGGTGTAGGTACACCCACAACGCTGTTAGGGAGTGAATTCCAGAATTTTTACCCAGCGACAGTGAAGGAACAGTAATGTAGTTTCCAAGTGAGGATGGTGAATGGGTGGAGGTCAACCTGCAGGTGGTGGTGTTCCCATGTATCTGCTGCTCTTGTCCTTCTAGATGGAAATAGTCAAGAATTTGGAAAGTGCTGACTCAGAAGCTTTGAATTTCTGCAGTGCATCTTGTCGATTGCACATAATGCTGCTACTGAGCTTTGTTGGCTGAGGGAGTGAATGTTTGTGAATCTGACACGAATCAAACGGGTTGCTTTATGCTTTGTCAAGCTTCTTGATTGCTGTTGGAGTTGCAGTAATCTGGGCAAGTGGGGAGTATTCCATCACACTCCCGGCTTGTGTCTTATACAAGGTCAGAAGTCACATGGCACCAGGTTATAGTCCAACAGGTTTATTTGAAATCACAAACTCTCAGAGTGCAGCTCCTTCATCAGGTGAAGTGGAGAAAAGCACACGTTCAGAATTTACAGGTAGAGAAATCAATAGGCAGAGAAATCATGATGTTATCATGAGAGTTTATCATGTTATTCCAGCTGTTTGGTTTGTCTGCAGCACCACCTTATTTTTAATTTTTTTCTTGATTATCTCTCTGCCTCAATCAGATTATAGGTCACCCCTTTGCTTGTTATTCAGATGTTGACACTTTACTCACAACATCTGACTCTCTTGATCACCTGCAGAGACCTGTTATTCAGCCTGATGACATTTTACTCACACCATTTGTATGCTCTTTTGATCTCTCTGCCTATAAATTCTGTGCCTTCACTTTACCTGATGAAGGAGCAGCACTTCAAAAGCTTGTGATTTTAAATAAACCTGTTGTACTCTAAGATGGTATTGTGAGACTTCTGACCTCGTCCACCACAGTCCAACACTGTGTGTCTTGTAGATGATGGACAAGCTTTGGGGAGTCAGGAGGTGAGTTACTTGCTGTAAAATTCCCAACCTCTGACCTTCTATTATAGCCACAGTATTTATACTTGTACAACACTTCTCCGTGATCACTGGATGTTGCGAAGCACTTTAGAGCTAACCAAGTGCTTTTGACATGTAGTCACAGTTGTGGGAAATATGACACCTAATGGACACATAGGAAACTCTCTCAAACAGGAACGTGTTAATGGCCAATAATCTGCTTTTGTGATGTTTAACAATGTTGAATATTCACCAAGATACCAGGCTCACTGGAATGGTACCAGGAGTGAAGAGGTTTGTATGGAAGTTCTGGAAAAGCTGTGAAGAGATTTGATAGAAATGATTACTTTTGATAGAATAAACAATGTGAACCTATTGGCAGCAAGGTAATTGACAGAACCAGAAGCAATATGAGAGAAGGTTGTCTTGATCTGAAGCAACTCTCTGAAAGGCTTTTGGAACACAATGTTCAGTTCTGGTCTCCCTGCTATAGGAAGGATATTGTGAAACTTGAAAGTGTTCAGAAAAGATTTTCAAGGATGTTGCCAGGTTTGGAGGGTTTGAAAAATAAGGAGAAGCTGAATAGGCTGGGGCTATTTTCCCTGGAGCATCGAAGGCTGAGGTGTGACCTTGTGGAGGTTTATAAAATCACGAGGGGCATGGTTAGAGTGAATAGACAAGGTCTTTTCCTGAGGGAAGGGAGTCCAAAACTAGAGGGCATAGGTTTAAGGTGAGAGGGGAAGGATTTAAAAGGGACCCAAGGGGCAACTTTTTCATGCAGAGGGTGATGCATGCATGGAGTGAGCTGCCAGAGGAAATAGTGGAGGGTGGTACAACTCCAACATTTAGAAGGGATCTCGTGGGTGTATGAATAGGAAGGGTTGAAAGGGATATGGGCCAAATTCAGCAAATGGAACTAGATTACTTTGAGTATCTGGTTGACATGGATAAATTGGACTGAAGGGTCTGTTGTCATGCTGTACAACTCTATGACTCTGCAGTGGAAGCAGACTTGACAGTAACTTTCAAAAGAAAATTGAATAGGTGTTTGAAGCAGGATGTTTACAGGGCTGCAAGGAAAGAGCAGGAACATAGAACTACCCAGTGAATCCTGTCAAAGAGCCAGCACAAACACAGTGGACCAAATGGCTGCCTCCTGTGGTACATCATCCTATCCTGTCTATGTATTCTTGTGATGTGTTCTGTTTCTTAAGGGAAGAGTTCTTTTCTAAGCTGTAGAGGAGTGTCTTCCTGTCCATCACTTGACAAATGCATATTTCCATTAGCTAATCACTGATGCCTTAACAAGAAGTGAAAATACAATGATTTGCATGTCTCTTCAAATGACTCAATTCTGATGATTTGTGGCAGGACAGCACTTTGTCTTTCTCTTTAGAAGTACTGTACAATGTTTGGAGGTCAACAAACAGGCATTCAAACTCTATAAAGTACCCTTTGTAAAACCATGGTTGAATCCTGAATCGTGCACAAACAACAAGCCCAGGTTTAACATTTGAGTTATCACACATGATGAACTGGCAATAAGACAAGCAGCCAAATGATAAATGTGTCATCTTTCTGTAATTGATATGTGGATGAATCAGAGCACAGCAACTAGTCACCACTGATCAAACAGTAATTTATGATGCTTGTACTAAGATACATTTAAAAATAAAAGGGCATTTCTCTTCACCTAGGTAAAGGTGAAGGCGCTATAGTGCTGCTATCTCCTCAGAGAGAGAGAGATAACTGGTAGTGAGTTTAACCTGAGCGTCACCCTGCCTTGGTCGAGGGAGGAGGTTGAAAAGGTATGATTTCCTGGTAAACTCAGCTGGTGCAGCAATTGAACCCATGCTGTTAGCATCACTCTGCATCGGAAACCAGTTGTCCAACCAACTTAGCTAACCAAACCCCATTTCACCATGGTAATGTTACTGTAGAAGAATGCTGTACATTCAATGCTGTGCCGCTAGCTGTCCAATTGTATAAAACTTTGTGATCCCATATACCTGCTCTTGTGTATTTTGCTTCACTTTTTATTCAATTCTCCCTTTTCTTTAGAAAGGAAGAAGTGTTTTCAGGTCCTCAGAATTCCTCAGCAAATAAAATATTTTCTGAGTGCCCTTGCAGTTGGAACATTGGGGAATGCAACAGTCTGTTCACTTAGAGCACAGTCCCAGGGATAATGTCACAATGTCATAAATGAACCAATAATCTGTTTCAGTGATATCTCATTGAGGGGTAATTGTTGATGACGCCACCAGGAGAACTGCCGTCCTATAAAGATGAAAATATTGGATAAATTCAGCAGGTCTGGCAGCATCTGTGGAAAGAGAAACAGAATTATCTTTGAGTCCAAATTTCTGCACAAATCCTGTCAGACCAGGTAAGATTCTGTGGCATTTTCTGTTCTTGTATCAGATCTCCAGCATCCTCAGTATTTTTCATAGAACATAGAACAGTATAGCACAGTACAGGCCCTTCGGCCCACGATGTTGTGCCGAACTTTTACCCTAATCCCAAGGTTTATCTAACCTCCACCCCTTCCTTATAGTATCATCCATATGCTATCTAATAGCCGCTTAAATGCCCCTAATGAGGCTGACTCCACTACCCTCTCCGGCAATGC